GAATGTAACTAATGTTTTCATTAAATTAATGAAAATGCAAAGTTTTTCTTAAATCAAACATATGTAAATAAATGCACACACAGAGGCACACACATTCAGTGTGATATACCTTGTATCCAATGAGAAACATCAGAATAACAATTATCTTTTCCAATGAATTCTAGATTTAGACTATCTCATCAATATTTTATATGTCAAATGGTAATGTTAAAATCAGTTTTTCAGAAAGATATTGTCATAGTCAAAATTGTGAAAAATCTTTAGAAAAATAGGCGTTCAATGATATCTGTACTTGGGAAAATTTAGCTTCCAAAACTACAGAATAAAAATATATTCCCTGGACCCATTAGGAAGTATATTCTTATTCTTCACAAAGTTGGAAAACAACTTTTGGTGCATAATTTTATAAGAAAGATAACAGCATTATTAAAATTTTGTTAAGTTTTTCTTTAATTTTTAAGGCATTTACACATTTTCAGTAAAATACTTTATATGTAGTTGAAAATTATTTCTGAAAATGGGATTTTTAAATTGTTTAGAAGTCAAAGAATATTCTAGTAAGAAATAATGTTGACACCTATGATAGTCTCTAATCTCTCCAAGTGATATCAAATGTGGATATTTAGTTACCAAAAAAAGTAATAATATTGAAACAAGTAATAGAAAAATTAGAAATTGATTACATTGTGAGTTTTAATTATAATTTAACATATATCTATATTTTAAATTAATAAAATATGTTACTGAATTCATCTCATATATGATAAGTCAAGTCCTAGATAATCAACGATATGCTGAAGTGGCACCTTTGGTCTTTATCAATTTGACTGTAAGATTGGCATCTATCTATTGAACCAAAATTTAATTGGAACTATTTTCTTCATTTGGCTTCTGATTTTATTCATTTATTTGGTATTATTGAGCTTAATTGTATGGCTTACCATTGTTACAGAAGGCAGAAAAGACCTCTTCTCAAGGGGCCATGGAGAGAGACTAACATGACAAAGTATCTGGCAATTACTCCATCAGCTCATTACAATTGTGTGTGATGTGAGAAGTATGCAGGGTGTTCTGATGGGGGACTAAAGAGAACTCTCTCTGATATGATAGCAATGAACCATGGGTCATTTTCCAGGTAACTGGGATTCACTTTTATTTTATTTTATTTTACTTTATTTTTTTCGGTAGCAGGGATTGAACTCAGGACCTTGCACTTGGGAGGTAGGCGCGGTGCTACTGAACTAAATCCATGGCCCTCACATTTATTTTAGAAGAAACTTCAAGGCCTGGAGTTATGCTAAAAATTTATAAGTTTGGCATCTTCAGCAGTCCATTTTTTGTCTAGGATAATTTTTAAATGTAAGAATTAGCTAGTATTTTATAGTTCAGTTTTCTAATTAAGTTTTTTTAAGAAAGAATATCTGGGGTATGAGTGTTTTCCTTGCACAGCAATAACACACAGACTTGAAGTCAATTCACATTTGTATTTTCAGATTTCTGTAAGAAAATATTAATTTTATTAATTAATTTAAGCACACTCAATTATAATAGAGTAACCTTCCTAAACATGTACGATTTAAGTATTTTTCAGTGCATGTTTGCCATAAAAATCTTCTGTCATTATTTTGAGCATAAAAGACTAACTTCTAGTAGCTTGTATTAGTCACTTTGTCTTCACTTCAATAAAATATCTCACAACCACAACTCAAAAGAGAAGAGCTTTATTTTGGCTCACATTTTCAGAGGGCTCAGTCTATACATGGTCAGGTTGCTCATGGCAGACACATAATGGTGGAAGAGCATAGTAGAGCAAAACTGCACAACCCCCAGCAGCCAGGAAGTAGAGAGAGAAGGGAGAGTAGGAGACAAGAATACACTTTCCTAGGTCATAGCCCCAGTGACACACTTCTTCCCATGAGGCCCCATGCTTAGCAGCACTTTCAGCTATGAACTTATCAAACAATTGATCTGTGGCCCCATGATTCAACAAACTTCCAGAAATCCCTCCTCTGAACATCTGAGAGCTTGGGGAGACATTTTAGATCTAAATGATGACATAGCTCCTGTCTGATTAAATCAGTCTCATTGCATAATTTCAACAATGAAAAACAATAATATATTAAATTTTTCTTAATTGCATTTGGGATTTAGACTCTGAGTTAATACAAGACAGATATATATTTTCAAATTCAAATGTCATGATAGGTACTTTGCTCCTAACTTGAGAGTTTAATTTAAATACATTTTTGTATGCTGTGTTCAGGGTGAAAAATTAGGATCATTAATTTGTTCAAAAACAGGAGGGAAAGGAAATAAATATAGATGATGTATGGAATTAATTATTAGCTTTTACAGAAATTAATAGATTTATTTTATTGAGAAGCATCTTAAGTTTTGTGATTTCAAAATTGAACACTTAGCAATTCTCTAAGAAAGAATTACTAGCTTTTTGAATATATGTATATTTCTCTTTGACATAAAAATGATATTAAAATATCATCAGTTATATATTGACAGATGCAACAAACCCACTGGCTTTTATAGGCTCATAAAGCATTTATATCAACACTCTAGAAAGACTGTTCCCCTAAATGTATTGTAAATCCCTTGTACTGTATTTATTTACATATGAACTTCATAATACAATAATGTGAGTATGCCAAATATCCTGTACTTACTTTCAAAGACAAAATTATTAGTTAATATAATATTTACAATAATTCTGTTTTCTATCTACAATTTGATTATACTATTTGTAAGGAACATAACATAATCAAAATTTAAATGTCCTTCTTGTTAAACAAACATTTAAGTTAAACATTTTTCATTTTAAGTTTGTGTAGACTAACACTTTTTTGTACAGAAGAAAATGTTTATACCTCAAGTTCTAAAATCTAGGCTATATCATGAGTCTAAACAAATTGATCCAAAATCTAGAATGATTCTGTTGTTTATTCAAGATGTGAACTTGGCAAATCAGCTCTCCTTCTCTGTCTCCTATTTTTCTCATCAGTAAATGACCATTGATTTAATCTAGTAGTTTTCACTGTTTAGCAGAAAAAGCTTCTTGGAGCCAAAATTTTATGAATATTATTATTCATAAATAATATCCTTAGTAATAAATATCCTTATTATAAATATATAATATGAATATCCTTATTAATAAAAACAAATAGTAAAAATAGAGCTATAAGAATAGAATCAGTAACGAGGGAGGAGGGGAGCAGTACACTTCGTAAGGAAGAAGAGAACCCCAGAATGTACCACCTTTCCTTCATGACCTGTTGAGGACAGTCTGGCATATCAAATTCCTCAAATCCATGGAACATGCTTAGAAAATCATGTAGTTATATGATCTTCAAGTTTCTTCACAATTCTAAAATATAATTCTCAATTTGTTAAAGCATTGAAAATTATATCATCTACTTAGAAAAAGAAATAATATAGGAAATATAAGTTCTCTATATTCTAAAAAGAGTTCCATGGTCAAAAGCCATTGATTTAAATATCATACTAAAACCATTGACTTAAATATTCCATAAAATAGCACTATAATATGAAATGGTTCAAATTTAGGAAATGAATACACTGAGTAAGCAAACCCCAAATAGCTTCTTTTTTTTTTTGTATTAAATTCTTTTATTGGTACATTGTAGGTATACAACACATTTACATTTCTCATTGGGAATTGTACCTTTACATAATGCATCTTGGTTCTTATTTTTTCCCCATTCCTAGCCCTCCCTTCACCCCCTCCATCCTTCCCGATTTACAAAGACTTTATTTCCATTTTTTCCATTTCTCAGCATTTTTCCTTTCCCTTCTTTCCTTTCCCTTGCCCCTCCCACTACCCCTACCCCTTTGGACCTTTTATTCCTATTTTGCATTATCGATTATTCATTCTAATCATTGGTACATTTGAGGTATACAATATAATGACATTCATCATTGGAAATTTGCACCTTTATATAGTCTCTCTTGGTTCTTATTTTTCACCCATGCCCAGCCCTCCCTTCAACTCCTCCAGTCCTCCCTATTTACAAAGATTTTGTTCCTATTTTTCCATTTTCTCATATTAATCCCATTCCCTTCTATCCTTTCCCCTAGCCCTCCCACTCCTTCCCCTTTGCCCCTTTTCTTCCTATTTCACATTACCTATTATACATTTAGTCCTTATTTACACTTTCAGTTTCTCACACCAGAGAAACTATTCGGTATTTATACATGTGTGTCCTATTTATTTCACTTAAGAGTATTGCCTCAATGTGCATCCACTTACCCAAATAGCTTCTTAACAAAATGTTCACAAAAACTCTTTTAGTTGAATTTAAATTCCTTAGCTGTCGCTATGCTTCACTGGGGAAAATGAGAAAAATTAATTTTTTGGTAAATTTAAAGCAGAATATGCTTAAATGAAGATTTTCAATTCTCAGCTTTAGTCACTAGAAAGTCAACACTTTAGCCACTCAGCACACACAATATACAGCTATTAGATCTTTGCCATCATAGGTTATGGAACAATAAAAAATGAGGCAGAGGAGTGAGCACATGTTCCTCTCAACAGTTGATTGCTCAGGAAAAGGTCTAGGAGAAGTAGCCCTTCAGAAGGGGCTGTTTTCTTTGGCAGTTAAGAAAATGGATTTGATGAGTGTGAGGCAGGAGTAACAAGTTTTCACTGTGACTAATTTCCTCTGTCCTTTATGAACAAGGATTTCTGACTCTGTAAAACACAGGAAAAAAATAAAAGCAAACTTTTAGTAATCCCCAAAGGATCCAAAGTGAAATGGCCCCAGCAGTTACTGTATATAGACACTGTGACACAGTTCTCCTTTTGTAAAAATACTTAGTGAAGATCATTACTTTCTGACAGTCTCTTACAGAGACCTATTTTATAGCACTTCAGGGAAGCTCATTACTAGGTCTTGGGATGCCTTTCAGGAAGGTGAAGTCGCCTGCCATTTCCCCTCGGTAGCTCTTGTTAACTCTTGTGTTGTTCACAGGTCCGTGGGGCCGGTGCATGGGAGAGGAGTGTGGCCCGGGAGGCATCCAGACCAGGGCTGTGTGGTGTGCGCACGTGGAGGGCTGGACCACGCTGCACACCAACTGCAAGCAGGTCGGGAGGCCTAATAACCAGCAGAATTGTTTCAAAGTGTGCGACTGGCACAAAGAGTTGTACGACTGGAGACTCGGGCCCTGGAATCAGTGCCAGCCGGTGATTTCGAAAAGCCTGGAGAAACCCCTGGAGTGCACGAAGGGGGAAGAAGGCATTCAGGTGAGAGAGATCGCGTGCATCCAGAAAGACAAAGACCTTCCGGCCGAGGACAACATCTGCGAGTACTTTGAGCCCAAGCCTTTCCTGGAGCAAGCTTGCCTCATTCCTTGCCAGCAGGACTGCATCGTGTCGGAGTTTTCCCCGTGGTCCGAGTGCTCCAAGACCTGCGGCAGCGGGCTCCAGCACCGCACACGGCACGTGGTGGCTCCGCCCCAGTTTGGAGGCTCCGGATGCCCCAACCTGACGGAGTTCCAGGTGTGCCAGTCCGGGCCGTGCGAGGCCGAGGAGAGCATGTACAGCCTCCAGGTGGCGCCCTGGAGCACGTGCTCCATGCCCCACCTGCGAACAGCCAGACAAACCAGGAGGCGGGGCAAGAATAAAGAGCGGGAAAAGGAAAGAGGCAAAGGAGTCAAGGACCCAGAGGCCCGGGAACTTATCAAGAAAAAAAGAAATAGAAACAGGCAGAACAGACAGGAGAATAAATACTGGGACATCCAGATTGGATATCAGACCAGGGAGGTTATGTGTACTAACAAGACAGGAAAAGTTGCTGATTTGAGGTAAGGTTTATTTTCACTAACAAGTGTCCATCAGTTTAGACCATGCATACTTAAGACACTACTATACTAACTGTCTTGAACCTAGGAAATGCTTTCACACTGAGCTACAGCCCCTTTGTTATATATTTTATTTTGAGACAAGATCTCCCTAAGTTACTAAGATGCCCAGACTTCTCTCAAAATTGTGCTCCTCCTCCCTCACCATCCCGGACTGCTGGGATTGCAAAACTACACCACCACCCCTAGCTCAAGCGGGCCTTGGAAGGGTGGGAGTCTCAGTGTGTTGTATTAATTATTTTATGAACAACAGTATTTAATACTAAATTAAATTAAATATTAAAACCTAGTACAACATATCCTCAAATTTAAGGCTTTTTGAGTTTTGTGGGATTCTCGATGTTTCTATTTTGTACACATTTCTTGAGTTAATTTAAATATTTCAAAGTCTAATGCATGAACAATTCTGCATGAGAAGATACTGCTCTGTTAGATCAGTGGTGCTGTTTCTCCCTATGACAGAAAACAAAAACAAAAAACATTAAGTAGAGGCAGAAGTATTGGGATTTTGAATTCAGATACTTAGTGAGTAAATAGAATAAAGCACACTTGTAATCTCTCCAATTTTATAGCATTTTCAGAATTACCTTATTAATAAAATCTGCTCTAAACAACCTAGGGAGCTATACCTAAGAATAATTTTCTTGCACATTTTATATAGTGGAATAACTCTCTCTAGAGAAGAAGAGGGGAACCAGCAGACACTAAGGTAAGCAGAGGGTATTTAATCACAAGTGGCCTAGTATAGAACACATAATTAATTGGCTGCATTTCCTATGTGGAAATTATTTAACAAATTATCTTTGAGTACATAATGACTGCATTATGAAAGACTACCTCATGTATGATTTATTTGTTGTGAAAATAATATTCATTGAGGATTATCCAAAGGATATGATGTTCTTTGGACATTCTAAATTTTGCTCTTGAATAAGCCAGGCCATCTGGGAGTGGCTTATCTGGATCATTTGCATAATTGTCTTTTCTGAAATATTTATGAAGTTATGATCTGGATTGAACTGAAGAAATTATAGGATCATTACTCAGAATTTTATATCATATTTATTGTAGAAATGACATTGAAAGTGTCATCTACTTTATCATGCAGTCTGTTCTCTTCATTAAAAGCATAAGATAAATTTCACTGAAGTTTCAACCCATATGCTTCTGGTGAACAGCTGGATTGTTTTCCTTATGGCCTCTGGAAATCTTGTAATATCACATTTTTCTGTTTACTTTGGCTGTTGAGAACCTGACTAGGTACATTGTTTACTGACACAACCCTCAAGCTTTATCTTTTTTTCTCACCCTCACTATTCCTTCTTTCTTGTCTAGTGATTTTGCTATGTATGAATTTTGCAATATAGTCAAAAACCTCTTTGAAATAGGATACAGTTTAAATAAATTAGTAAACAAAAATAAACAAACGATTCGTCTAAGACAATAGCTTCCTGTCATAATGGCATTGTTCTGGTTTCTATTTTTAGGATATTGGCTACTCCTTCCCTTCTTTGTACTCATACAATTGTCTTTAATTTCAGCTGGACAGTAATTTGCTCTTTCTCCATTCCAGTGTTGCCATCCCAACTTTCCTGTTGGATTGTTTTTCTGTCTTCATCTTCTAGGTTTCCTACAACTCCTTAAATGAGTGTGCGTGCGTGCGTGTGTGTATGTGTGATTGTGTGTCACATATATCCTCAATTAAATCCTTATTCTTTTCTAATTATCTTTACTTTGGTTATTTCCTGACCTTTTTTTTTTTTTTGAAGTATTGCAGTTTTATTAGTTACTTGGCTCCCACCAAGTAAGTAAATGAGCCTGCAAGGCAAGTTGCCTTGTCACCTGTTGTCACTGGCTTAGAATGTGGGAGACATTTAATTTCATGTTGATTACTCAGTTAAAAGTGTGATTAGGATGGTACTTACCTCTGCATAGAATCTAATATTTTCATCCAGTTGTTTGAATTAGGAAACATATTTAAAAACATGGAAATTCTTTGTCAGGTTATAGCCCATTGAAAATACCATGTTTAACTAATCCAGTAAAATGATAGTTACAAATACATTCTGATTTACTAAGATATAGATTAGGCTTTATGTTAAATGATTAAATTTGATTATTAATATTTCTCTTTGATATGAATTATCATGTGTATAATTGAGAAGGTTAAGGTCCTAGTGAAGAAATGACAAAAAAATGCTTATTTTGACTATATCTTACTCACACATTACATTATGATATTAGTGAAACTAATAGAATCAATAGAATTAGCAAAGTACAGGGCCACGAATCAAGGATTTAATGATCAAATTTAAATTTTTCATCATGTAGGAAGATAAAAGTTGTTAAATAAAGGCAAAAATATCCTTTTACTGTAACTGAATGAATTTAGCTGGGTAAACCTGAGAATCTTTGAGCAACTGTTCGTAGACAAATAAAGAGTTTAAGAATTGTTGCTAACATGTCCAAATTAAAGATGGTAGATCCGTCCTGATTTTCACTTTCAAGCAGACAGAAATCAATAAACATGAAAAACCTGAATGAAAGGCAATTCTTTTATGAAAGCAGGAAACAGTCACAGTCCCAAACCACAGTTGATGGCAGACATTTTTCAATGTAAAATTAGACCTGACTGAGGGAGGAAGTCAGGAGGGATATTGTGTCTTGTTAGCTTTTATGTCATTTATGAGCAGAGCCTGATCTTTCTGAGGGGCCAAGGCAATGCCACCTCCTTAGATGACACATTGCGGATCAGTGGAAAGGACTAGGGAAACATTCTTGATTTCTCTTTAAACCAAAATGGGAGACTAGGCAGAACTGAGCTAGGAAGCCCACTATGTCTTTATTGATAACTGAAAACTATGAGCTTGACAGTCTGAAGGAGTGAAGTTTTGACAATCAATAGAAAGGACTTCTGTATCTCACCCCACAGAAGGAGCATACCATGAATCAGTGACTTCTAGCCTGGTTAGTAAATACAGACTTACCTAGGCCAAGAGTTGACGTGAAAGTTCAGCACACATTTCTTTAGAAAACCTGAGGTATTAAAGAAATATAGTTTTCTGAACTCAAAACAGGAGATAATAAAATAGAATGAGTTTTAAAATGACATAGCAAAGCTCAAAAGATAAATTAAGAACTATAAAACAAGAACAGAAATGAAAATCATATAGGCAGCAACAAAAAGTGGAAACATATTCGATGGTAACAAAAGTCAGTGACATAGAAAAACACTTTGAGAATGATAAGTACACTAATTATTTAACTAGATAATAGATAGGAAACAAATGAAGAAGATTACTACTTGAAATTCCAAAGTTCCTGAAGATAGGGCCAGAAGAATAAAAATGGAAAAAATTACAAAGAAAAGACTTTCCTGAAATTAAGGAACTCTTTGCCCACAGACTGAATTTGCACAAGGCTACAATTCTGCTAGAAGAAATTGAAATAACGACTGATGGAAAAACTGATATAAATCCATTTTTTAATTTAGACAAGTAGACAAAGAAGCATCAAAGTGTGAGCTCACACAATGATCAATTGTGAAATATTAGAAGCATTTCCTTTAAACTAGAAAAAATAATACAAGACAGAACATTATATCCAATTTAGCTAACATTGTTATGTGAGTTCTAGTTAATATAGTTTAAAAGAAAAAAATGAAAATATGGAAATAGTTCAATTTTTTTCACATATTATAGTTGTGTACTGGAAAACTCAAGAGAATCAATTGACAATATATTATAAATAAAACAGGTCAATAAAATATGTGAATATAAAAATAACACCCAAAATCCAATAAATTCCACAGACACAAACAACAATTAAAATTATAATGAAAACAAAAGGTTAAAATATCTAATTTACAATAGTATGTAAATAATCCTTTTTTTTTTCAGTACTGGAGATTGAACTCAGGACCTTATGCTTCCCAGGTAAAAGCAGTACCACTGAGCTATGTCCCTGGCCCCAGTAACCCTAATTATATAAGTTTTGTACTTGATGTCAGACTTGGGAAAGTGCCAAAGTTCATGTGTGCTACTGAAGAATAATTACCATATATGCCAATTGCCTTCACACTGTGACTGTAAAATTTACAAATGAAAATAAACATATAAGACAGGCCAGGAAAATACTGAAAAATAAAAATAAGAAAGACTAATTTCATAAGATAATTATATTATAGTAATAGCAATAATAATGGCAATTATTTTATGCTGGTGAATGAGTAGATCAAACAGAATAGGGGCTAGAGAAAATATTCCCAAACTCTAAAATATGTGTTCTTTGATGAAGAAACATTTCTCTTTTTGGGGAAAAGATACAGCTTAATGAATTTGTTTGAGAAATTTAAAGTTAAACTTTTTTTGTTTAAACATTAAAATTTGTTTAAACTTTAAAACTTTAAGAACATTCTGTTTTCCTCATTTTTCCTTGTAGTTTTGTGAATATCTCCCACTTGACTTATTTGTTCGTTTCTCTTGCTTGAGTTGGCATGACAGCAAGTTTCCTAGGAAAACTGGCACTTCCTGGAGCAGTCTGGATGCTGATTGGGGCAGTGACCTTGCATTTTCTTGGCAGCGAAAGTGACTTCACCCATTGTTTTTGTTTCTTTGCTTGAATTCCACTAGCTTGACCTTAGTAGAGCTGAGTTCCCTCTGACTTAAATATTTAAAAATAAGTTTTAAATCAGAGGAAATATCTTCAAAAGGAAAGAAAAAATCCCATAGGATAAGGAAATAAATCATTAAGCATTATTTGCATAACCTAATTACGAATATACTTACTCTCTTAGAGTTTGCTAACTACATTAGTAATTTCATGTGTTATATCTTATTTGCTTCTTAAAATTGTTGTTCATCTACTGAGACTTATTTTAGATATCTACTTAAAATTTTACCAGACTGTTCTTTATTTCTCTAAATTTGCATCATTTTAATATG